AATTTATTTATAGGTATAATAAGACAGTTTGGAGAAGAACATTCTCAATATATAAATTAATTATAATTCGGTTTAAATGATTATTTATTCCTACATTAGAATATAATGGATGATTATATTCAATGTCTATCATTGATTAGATGGTGGTTACTAAGAACACTATTTTAATAAATATGAATTTCAGTTTTACCTTCAATTAGTCTAATAAATCAATTCAATGATAAATATGAAGAAATTTTAGAAACAAATGCAAAACAATAGTAAAAAACACTTTTTAAAAGTTGATTTCATCTGTTTTGTTTTTTGTTTTCTTAGCATACTGTATTTATTCGGAGAAGTGTCGAAAAAAAGTTATTGAAACAATTTTAAACTTTAAAAAACAAATAGAGAAATCTAGATTACAAAAAAAAAGAGAAATTTATTTCTAAATTATTGATTTTATGGAATAAAAACAAAATCTATTGTTTATCTAACTTTAAATTCTTTAATATATAATATATGTAAAATATTCAATTTAATGTAGATAATAGATAAATATTTATAGTAGATTATTTCAACAAAAAACTTTTATTTAATAAAAGTTTAAAAAATGTGAATGTCTTTTCGTGCCAATAAATGGTTGATCGTTATTATCATTGAATGATCATTCGATTTGATCTAATTCATCTATTGTTGCATTTACATATTTTCGAATTATTTTACCATCTTGTTATTTTCATTTTGATTTAATGATTATTGAATTTGTTTTTCAATAAGACATCTTTCTGATGATATTATTTTTCGTTTCATTGTTATTATTTCTAATAAGATTTTACTTTGAAACTTTTGTTTGAGAAGTTCATCTCTTATACTAGTTCATAACTAAAGATTTTCATTGTTAAAATCTTATGAAGGAATTTAAAATTTTGTTGAGAAATTGCAGAAAAGACAACCGAAATCAGCAAATACTTTTTCAATTGGAAAAAATAAACCATTGAATGGAACTCATAATTAATATTTTTCATTTTAGTTTTTATTTAATCTACAGAAAACAAAAAAGATTCAAAATTGAATAAATTTTAGTTTTTAGAATGAAAACTTATTTTCCATTGTTTACTTTTATTTTTATTTAAATGTTGAATAAAACTATAAAAAAAGTATATCTTTAAACATTTAATTATATTTTTATTTACAACACTTTTGACAGTCTGATATTGAATCAAAATTCTTTTTCTTTTCTTGGTGCGAACAATTAATTTGAATTTCAATATGTTTAATAAAGTTGAACAAGAAAAAAACTGCCGGTATGAATACTGAATAGATGTGTGTTATGACATATCGTAAATCAATCAACTAAAAGAATATTATCAAAAGAAAAAGTTACCTACTAACCGACATCCACATCCAAAATGTAACACTTACCTAAAAAGCTAATATCTAATTATTCAAGAAAAGTTCTATTGAAAATAGAATTCTTAACTAATTTCTCAAAATTGAAAAGCATACCTACTTTTTCGAATTTAGAAAAAGTAAAGTCTCAATAAAACAATATAAAAATGAAATGCAGCGTGTACACTCTACACACTAGTTTTTTTTCTTCAGTGTGTAAAACAGTATGTAAATTCTATTGGATTAAGGTACCATACATTTTGTTTTTGCTTGATACATTGATTCATTAAAAATACTGCCTATTAACTCTTTCCACGTTAATTTAATCCAATGAACAGACATTTTTTTATTATAATTAAAACTGATTAAAGTTCATAAAAGAAAATGAACTAACCCTGGATTTTTTATGTTTGGCAAATAAACTCGGTTATCAAATGAGTGATTCAATCGAAATATTGCACAGATTGAATATTAAATGAAATCATTTTGATTAAAATTTCTTAAAAGATTATAAAGAACTGAATTCCATTGATATCCTTTTATAAATTGAGATATATTATCATAGAATTTCAATGTCTACTGAAGTAAACTTATTTCAAACAAATCTATTAATTCTAAATAGAACTTATCTTTAAGGAAAATGGTACCCTTTAGATTTTTATATGACAACAAAAAAAACAAGGAAGCATGTCGATTAATTTTCCCATTATTAAACAATTTTAGTTGAAAAATGTTCTAATGATAAGTTTATTTTAAAAAATGCTAAACATATCCATTAAAAGTTAATTATAATCAAGTTAGAATTAAAAAAATAGTTGTTTATTTTGTTAAAACATCAAGAACGATATCCTAGTATGATACCAAAAATGACCACAACGTAAAACAAACGAAAATTATTTTGATTATAATCAATTCCTATGCAATGAAAGCCTAAAAAAGGGATGATATAAAACTACAACAACTAACAAAGTTTCAATCATCGAATTCGGTAAAATTTCATCCACACTATGGAAGAGTATTGCTTTGTATTGGCAATTTTCATATCACTCTTATCGAAACGGTTTTCTTATATGGATGTAGTTTTTGAGAAATTTTTGAATAACTTTTTTATTTAAGAAAAATCTTCTATGTGTAAATAGGTCAATGTCAGTAAAACCTTTGTCTTACTTTGGGCAACGTCTCGATTTCCAGGTTAATTGTAACTAAGAAGTTTGAAAGCTTTCAGTCTTAGCACAAAACAGTAAGAAAAATACTTTGATCTTCTATTTCGTCTTTTCGATGATTTTCTAGGCAGGGCTCTTTTATTACGCAAGAAAGGCTTAGTCAAGAATTATATTTGCAAATGACTCATTATTGTCAGTGAAGCAGATTAATGATTACACTATATTATTCACACTTGTAATTCTTTGTCTGCGATCGGTGAGTAACTATAGTTATATAACTTTTTTTTTTCTGACATTATTACAGATCTTATTTGAAAAAATAAATACTTTGATGTATTCAGTCATCAACATGTTCTTTATTAATAATGAAATTTGTTGCATAATGAGACATTAAATAGATAATTTGTTTTCTATTCGCTTGACAAAGCAATGCAATCAAGCTAGTAGTGTCATCAGAAGAAGCTAGGTGGTTGGGCGTCACCCTACCAATGTTCAAAAGTTATTTCAGATCAGCGACGGCTCGAAGAGATCAAAACAGGAGGGGGTATTTTCGAAAATGAAGAAAAGTTTTTAAAAAAACGCTTCGTATTGTAGGGAACCGAAATTTTAACATGCGAGCAATTAACAGGACCGCTCGATCCCTCAGTTTTTGTGGAAGTTTGAAGAATTTGTGTTCAAAACATGATTTTCTTGCCAATCTTTTGAGAAACAAACCATTTTTGTATGAAATTCAAAAAAGTTTTTCGATACTTCTAACGCTGAAGGCGTTCACAGCAGCAACTATCGATGAAAACTATGCTTTTTAAGAAGCACAATTAAATGAGACTCACTAGAACCAAGTTGCAATCCTTTAAAAATTGGTTAGATTGATGCAACTCGCACTGTTTATCGAAGAAAAAATGTTTTGCCGGCTGAAAAGATCCTCCTTCTAAACCAATTTTTTTTAATAACTAAATCGTTGTCAAATATAACTGATGATTTTTGTTAAACATTTTTTATTGCCGAAGTCGGCTACGTAAATGATTGTTCAAAAACGAAGTGCTGTAAGTGTAAACAAATACCAGAACATGTCGCTGAAGCTAAAGATAAGAGATTTTCTCGATCGGTTATTCTTGTATGATTGTTACTTTTTCGCGAAGAGAAAAAATTTTCAATTATATTTTACAGCTTGTTTGAGAAGAACTTCGTTTAAGGTTGCATGTTGGAAAAAAGTATCAGTCAATCCTACCAATATTAGATGAGTTATGATTGACAATGAATTCAATGGACTGATCAACTTAATATGAACTGTCGAATTAAGAGGAGGAAATACCTTGAGTTTTGTTATTTTATTATCGTTTAAGAAAAACAACTGATTTATTAAACTCATCAGTGGTTGGGCGCCGTTCAACCTAGCCCTAAAATCAAGCGATTCATTTAAGTAATCGAACTTTCTAAGAATTGGAAGGATCTATTTCTATCACAATTTTCAATCATGCGAAAATATCATCCAGCGTTATCTATCTTTTTTTCTAAAAATAATCATCAAAATATTTAGCACAAAATACTATTTATATTACGCTGGTTTTGAATATATATAAGTCTTAATATAAGTTACACTGACAAAAAAATCTTTACAGTACATTTAAAAATAACAACTAGAAAACATCTGTCTTCGATGTATCATAGATCCAGGCACCTTGTGAATTCTTTGTATTTACTATTATATAGTAAATCACTCTTCGACCTATGCGTGATTTGCTTTTATTCGACCATAAGACTGTCGATAATCAGTGTCTTGTTCCTATGAGAGACTTTTAATTAATATATAATTCATTCTTCATTACTCTTTTCAGATTCACTTTGTACCATGGCATCAAAATGTCTTCCTGATCAATTAAGATAAGTGTAAGTCTTCCTATACCAATATTTAGTCATATTGAATTGAAAATATTTTCTTTGTTTTAGACAAACAAAAGTAAGAATATGTTTTATTATTCATATCCAAATAAATGTATTCATTTGGTTTATGACAAATGCAAGCAGAAATTATACTCTTGTTTTGAATGTCAATGAATTTCTCCGAATATATTGACCCTTCCTTTTGTTTTCGTATTAATTTCTTTAGCGAATAAATAGAACAATAATCGTCCGATCATTGTGCAGCTTCTTCTTGTTTTTTTTTCGTTCAATCGGTCAATTTCTCATTTCTTGACTAACCATCATCGACTGACCGGGCGAATAAGATAACCAATAGTTATTATTAGAGTCGAATTATATATATGAATAATTGAGCATATAAAAAAAAAATTTTGTTTTTACCATCTTCGTTAGTGTCGTATAATGGCTATCGATCCGGTATGTAATAATATAGTTTATAAAATATAAGGACTATCCCTTTTTCTTAAATATCTTTTTAAGGTTTCGTTTAATTTTCTTTACGGGTTATAAATTTAATTCATTGTCTTTTTCTTTTTCTTTTTAATTTAGATGGAGAATTTGGTTAGACAAGTAGACCATTTAGATACTGAAATTAATGTGGCTAAAGGTAGTATTGTTCAAGGTGTAACTCCTACAGAACAGGAACTCAACCTGTTATTTGCAAAAATTACTCGACGGGCTCTTCTCAATCATGAACTTGAACAAGTTCGGGCAGGTGAGTAATTAATGATGTGTACGTTGGTTATTATTTTATGTTTTATTTCGACATTTAGAACGTAACAGTCTTCGTGATCGTCTTAATCAACATCAATGAAGATTTACTTTTTTTTTTTATTTCTCCTGTTAATGAAGGTTTTGATTTTCCTGTTAGTACATCATGATATTTTTTTTTCGTTGATACTCCTATTGATACATAAGTTTTTGGTGATTATTTTTCTGTTATATACTATTGATAGACCATGATTTTTCTCTTGATTCTTTTGTGTTCTGTTACGAAGGGATCAGGTGTTATGTTTGTTTATATTGAGGATGATTGTTTCTTCTATTTAATAAAGAAAAAGATATTTATTAGTTTTGCCATTTAGAAAATAACATCAACGAAGAGAGTTAACGATATATACTATCAAAAATGAAAAGATATATAGTAAATTGTAGTACGAAATAGGTACAATAGAATTTACTATCAGTTTATCTATGTATGATCAGATTATTATTTATACTAAGTTTAATTAACAATATCAAATTCGTGTGTTGGACAACATATCGATCATATTTCCAACTGCATGCTATACATTATACAGCTACTAGTTATTCATAACGTCTGAAATCGATTCTTTTGTTAGTCAGATGTTGGTGTCCAGACTAGTCTAAATTATAGAAGCAAAGTGGTGAAGGTTAGATTCGAACATAGATACTCTTTGTTACATACCTAGCTTGACAAGCAGTTGAACTATACAAGCTGATATTTCATTGATGACACATCTAGTTCTTCCTGACACGTCTCTTTCACACATTAATGATCAGAGAAGTTCATAATCTTATTTAATAAAACTTATTAATTCATGTACTATCAGACTATTTGATGATGCATGTTAACATAAATCAAAATTTTAAATTCCTAGTTACACTTAGCATTCTCTCAGAAGATTAGATCAAGAAAATTAGATTTGAGAAGCTTTTTGAAGAAAACAAATTATGTTTATTAATAGTAAAAATGATTTTTATCTGTTAACTATTGGCTTTTAAGTTAGGAAATTCAAACACAGTAAAACCATTACCAGGTTCACGTATACAAGAATTTTTTTTCAAGATAAATTTTAGATGCTTCAGATGGAAAATGTTTGATGGTAAAAGGTGTTAGCTCAATCCATTGCGAGATAAAAAATGTGAAACGCGATGGATCGATTGTTATTAATTCAATGGACATCATTTTAATGGGTTTTAAATTTCTATCTTATACACTTCAACACTTTTCAGTTCATGTTTCACAAGACATAATGTTCGTTAGAAATCTTAAACGAAAAAAGTTTAAAAAAATCAATTCACATCCTCTAACCAACAAACATAACCGTTATAACAAACGAAGCCTTGTATTCATTAATGCATGTCTACTCGTTAGAAAAATTCATTGACATGTTTTGTTTTTGTTTTAAACAGTCTTCATATTAAGCCACGGATAAAACAGATCTTTGTGAAATCTTCTTTATATATGTTTAGAAGAAGAAGAGAGTTAAAGAGAGCGTTGGTTCTATTGCGAAACCAATGATATATATATATATCGGCTTGAGCGAGCGTAACGCGATGACGTTTTGGCCACAGTATTATTACCTTTTCTCAGCAATTAGATTACATGGTAAGTTGGTTCTTTCGTTAGTAGATGTATCTCTGTCTTTCCCAAAATCTCTCAAAGTATGAGCTCGTTTGAATGAGCTGTTGGAAAATTATAGCAAAACCAGATGCCGTAACGCGATGACGAAAAAAGGACAAAAATTTGAGGGTGACGTGGTTGTTCTTTATTTTCCTGCGAATGTGCGCTGTATTAAAAGAAACATTCTATGGATGTTTTATAGCTGACAGTTTGAGGTATCCGACGAAAAAAACAATTCAAATTAGCTTCTTATTTGAAAGAGAGACCGGTTTAATTAACGTAACGCGATGACGATGACTTTTGTAATATTTTTTTTTTTTTTGTGCTTCCTTTCGTTATATGTTTTACTGGTATAATGACAAAATATTATTTTTATCCCAAAGATTGAAGTGTGCAGATGTTAAATGCTATGCTTGTTTGATCCTTCTAAAGCAAAAACAAAAATCGTAAAAAAATAACTTAGTTTAACTAATATTTGTAACAATGTGTATGTACAATGAATATGAAATAAAACAATCATTAACTGTTTAAGTAAAGCATTACTAGACTAAGACAGCTATTAGTATTATTCAGAATGAAGAAGAATAGAAACAAATAATTCAAATAATTAACTAAACATATATAAAAGTATAATTTTTTAAGCATAACTTGATAAAACATGGTCTTGCTATATATAAATATATTATTTTCTGTGATTTTGACTCGGTAATTTAATTTTAAAACTTATTAGACCAATCAACTATATTCGTATGACAATTTGTTAGTAATTAATAAAAAACGTATCACTGATAGGTTACACTAGTTTTTGAATAATAAATCACTATCTGAAAATATTTTTCCATTAATGCGAAAAACGTTATTGCGTTACGCAAAATTATTATAAAATGAAATCTTTTTCAGATAAAACTAGATACATTAGACAGCCTATAAAAAACTAGTTTTAGGTATATATCTTTTATGAAAAAAAAAGTTAAGAACAACAGGTGAAAAAAAAACAATAGTCATTTTTCGTTACGCGATGACGTTATAAAAAGGGTAGTTTTACAGAGGCTCGCTATAAAAAAGTATAGTACATAGGAAATCAGCTGTTATGCGAAAAGATACGTCTGCTATTATAGTCTTCATTAGTCTTAATCAACTTCGTATATACCAAGATGTTTCACAATATGTGCTAAGACAACTACTCGTCTGAATAGAGGCATTTTCTTTATCTATTAGTGATCACTCTGTTAGCAATTGTTAACTATGGGTCAAAGCACTTATTAACAGAACAAAATATGGTTCCTTGCACTTTAGACCATGCTATACAGGATGGCAATAAAACGTTTCAAAAATCATGACTTTAAACTTCCGGTTGTGAAGTTACACGTTACGCGCTCAAGCCGATATATATATATATAAATATTCTGTCACGGTGTCGCTTGAATGCAAGACAAAAAGAAAATAAAAGAACAAATTAGATAAACTAGCGACTTAATCATCAACCTTAGATG